TTCAATAACTTTATTAAAACTAAAAACAACCATAACTAAATACTGTTGAACTCACCAGCTTAAATGTTGATCCTCTCTTTCAAAATAACTTGTATTCTCAGGAATCCAGTAGACAGGTACACTTCCAGAGCTTTTGTGAGAACAATTTAGTACCATGTTGCGTCTTTTGTCTTTTACTATATCTACTTTTGATATCGATTATCTAATGTATGAACACTTATGTAAAAACTTATACATTATTAATGCAATGGATGTTGTACTTTGATTACCATAATGCATGTGTTGTGATAGTTGACATGACGTTCCGGTTTAGGGGTGTAAGACTAACCCTAATTTGATGGAGTTTTTTTGAGCAGGAATTTTGATAACAATTTAGTCAAAGAGATTGCTGCAAATTTCAAGCTTGATGAGGAGTTGCTGGAAATTTTGGAATTTATGGAAGAAAGGAAGAAAATGAGGTACTATAATACCAACGTTAAATTTCCCATTTCTAACCCAAAACTTCTTCTTTTGATTGTGCAGGCACCTAAGCTAGAATTGAAGACTCTTCCAGATCATTAGAAGTATGCATATATTCGAGAGGAGGAGACTTTTCCTATCATTATCTCCAACAAGTTGTCTATTGCAGAAGTAGATAAGTTGGTGACTTTGCTGAAAAAGTATAAGAAGGCTATTAGGTTGACAATTGCTAACATAAAACGATTGAGTCCCTCCTTATGCATGCATAAGATTCTCATGGAGGAAGATTTCAAACCAATCTGAGAGGCATAAAGATGATTCCCCCCCCCCCCCATGATGGAGACAGTAAAGAAATAAATCTTTAAGCTTTTGCATGCAGGTATGATCTACCCCATCTCTGATATCAAAATGGGTGAGCCCCATTCAGGTAGTCTTGAAAAAAGCCGGGATAATAGTTGTCAAGAATTACAAAGGAGAATTGGTGCCAACTCAGGTGCAAAATGGGTGGAGAGTTTTTATTGACTATATAAAGTTGAATGCCTCAATGAGACAAGACCATTTCCCCTGTCATTTTTGACCAAAATGTTAGAGAGACTAAGGGTAAAATCTTACTATAGTTGCTTACATGGTTTCTCTGGTTTTCATCAAATTCCGGTAGTCGTAGAAGACCAAGAGAAAACCACCTTCACTTGCCCCTTTGGCATATTTGCTAATAGGCGTATACCTTTTGGTCTATGTAATGCACCCATAACATTTCAAAGATGCATGGTGAGCTTTTATTTTGAATATGTTGAAAACATCATTGAAGTTTTCATTGATGATTTCACAGTTTATGGAAACTCCTTTGATAAATGTTTAAACAACCTAACAAAAATTCTACAAAGGTGCATTGACATTGCTTTTGTGATTAATTATGAAAAGTGCCATTTCATGGTGGCCAAAGGATAATTTTAGGTCATATTGTGTCCTAAAAGCTTGGAAGTTGACAAAGCCAAGATAGATGTTATCAAGAGTCTTCCTTACCTGAAAATTTTTTTGGAAGTATGTTCGTTTCTTGGTCACGCAAGTGTCTATCAGTGATTCATAAAATATTTCTCAAAGATTATGCTAATGATGTGTGAAATACTCCAAAAAAAATATCGAATTTGAGTTTACTTAGCCATGCAAGGATGCTTTTGATCGTTGAAGGATTTACGTACCTCCACTCCAATTATCCAACCACCTAATTGGGATCTCCCATTTGAGATCATGTGTGACGCAATCAACACCGCGGTTGCGGTAGTGTTGGGACAAAAGGTGGACCGAGCGTATCACATCATTTACTATGCATCCAACACCTTGGATAATACACAAACAACTTACACTACAATAGAAAATGAGTTGTTGGCTATTGTCTTTGCATTAGAGAAGTTTCGACAATACCTCCTCGGGACCAAAGTGATTATCTATTCGGACCATGCAACGATAAAGCATTTACTAACCAATAAATTTTTGAAGCCGAGGTTAATATGGTAGATGTTGCTTTTGCAAGAGTTCAATATAGATATCAAGGATTAAAGCGGGGAAAGAGAATTTGGTTGCGTGTCATCTAAGTCATATAGTATCACCCGAAGACGCCACCCTAATCCGTGACACATTCCTAGATGAGCATTTTTTTGAAAACAAGGGATATCGATGGTACTCGGACATCATCCATTACTTGGTCACGAATCAATTCCCCCCGGAATCCACACATTAGAAAAAGGACAAAATCAAGTGGGAGGCAAAGAGGTATGTGTAGGATGAGCCATACCTTTGGAAGTATTGCGCATACCAAATGATCAGAAGGTGTGTTGAGAAAAATGAGGTACAATCCATACTTAACTTCTGTCATTCCTATGCTTCTGGAGGTCATTTCGGACCCCAAATGACAACTAGAAAAGTCTTAGTTAGCGAATTTTATTGGGCTACCATTTTTCATGATTCTTATGTGTTATGTGCACATTGTGATAAGTGCCAAAAATCTGGGTCCATAAGCTCTAGGAATCAAATTCCCCTTACCCCCCATCTTAGTTTGTGAAATATTTGATGTGTGGGGTATAGACTTTATGGGATTGTTTCCGCCCTCCTTTGGTTGTTCATATATTTTGTTAGTAATGAACTATGTGTCTAAATGGACGGAGGCCACGGCCACATGTACTAATGACTCCAAAGTTGTTGTGGATTTCCTCAAAGAACATATTTTCTCTCGGTTTGGCACTCCAAAAGCTCTCATAAGTGATCGTGTGACTCATTTCTGCAACCGAATTCTTGAAGTTGTCTTAAAAATGTATGGGGTGACTCATAAGGTCTCAATAGCCTATCACTCTCAAACCAATGGGTAAGAAGAGGTCTCCAATAGGAAAATCAAAGGAATCTTGGATAAAACAGTTAATCCAAACTGTAAGGACTAAAGCATAAGGTTAGATGATGCCTTATGGCAATACCAGACTGCTTTCAACACTCCTATTGGTATGTCTCTATATCGATTAGTGTTTGAGAAACCATGTCGTCTTCTAGTAGAGCTTGAGCAAAAAGAATTTTGGGCCATTAAGAAATTCAAATCGAATGAATATGAAGCAGGAAACAAAAGGAAGTTAGACATTCAAGAGTTAGAGGAGATTAAAAATGATGTGTATGAGAATGAAATGATTTATAAAGAGAAGACAAAGGCGTACCATGACAAAATGATCTTTCGGAAGACTTTTACAAATGGTCAAAAAGTCCTTCTTTACCACTCGAGGTTCAAATTGACATCGGGGAAATTAAGATCAAGATGGGTTGGTCATTTTGTGGTCACGAAAGTCTTTGACCATGGTGCGGTGGAAATCACAAGCCAACAAACCGGAAAATATTCAAAGCAAACGGTCATAGATTGAGACGATTTTACAAGGGATTTGAGGTGAATAATGATGAGCTGGAAGTGGTTGAGAACCCCACATACCAAGAATGAAGCATATTCAATGGCAAAGTCGAGCCAACGACTTAAGACACGGGCGGCTAACCGAGAGGCAACCTGGGGGCATTTTTGTCTTTTTCTTGAAAACATTTCCGTTTATTTGAAATTTTTGGTTTTTTAATGTTCCAAATATGTTACAACAAGCTTTCAAATCACAAAACGAATCTTTGGATGCAAAACAATTTCTTATGATCAATTTGGGATTTTTTGGGTTCAAAATTGGGAAGTGGCAATCAGAGGCGCACACGGCCCGTGTTTATTTTTGCGTGAAACACAACATGAGTCATGTTCAAGTGTTGTGTATTTTTTTCGAATCAGAGGCGAACACAGGTCGTGCTTCCCTAGTGTAAAATGACACGGGTCGTCGGCATAATTTCTTAGTTAACTTTCACCCAACATGGGGCGTGTTCCCCTAATGTAAAACGACATGGTTTGTGTCCGCGTACCAGTAGAAACAATTTTTTCAACTTAAAATTGGGTTTTTTCTTCATTTAACCACAACTACTTCCCAAAACATTTTCTCTCACCCAAAAACCCTCGCAAGTCCGGTTTTCACTAGCATCCCTTGATTCTTCACCAGTTCTTGCTTTAATCTTCAAAAGGTTTGATTTTTATCTTCTACACTTTATCTCGTACATTATACACACCATTTTCTTGCACTTTCATGGTGGATTTGGGGTTTTCGTGAACCCAAGGTCCGAAAATTCTTAAATATTTTGGTGTTTTTGTGCTTGAGTCATCATGTACGAAAGCTTGGGGAGGTTAAAGAGGAACTTTACACCCACAACAATGCATCTCCACCAATGATTCGGTAAAATCCTTCCAATTCTTCAATTGTGGATTTTTTGTTTTTTTAGAGTCAAATTGCATGCATTGGTAGCCATTTTGGACTGGACAATAACTCTTAAATCATTCAATTATGAGTTTCCCGCGAAATCATGGAGGCCAATTTTTTGTTGACTGGACCCGTCAATAGTTGACTTTTTGGACCCGTTGACTAGTTGACTTTTTGCCCCACATTTTTAGCATGGAAAGTGAGTAATCTAAATGACCTAGGAATACTAAGTCACCGGCCCGATGTCGTAGGTCCCAATCACCACCGCCTCCACTCCTGCATATTTTGGAACATGGTGGTGTGTTTTGTCTTGGGCCAATTCAAGTTGCCAAACTTGAGGCCTACCTTCAGCGCATGTAAACTATCCAAAAATTCATGCATGTACCATCTCTCCATGAGTTGCACATCTATAACCAATTCCACACCTTGTTTCAAAACATTGGATGGAAAGGGTTACTGCAAGTGTATGAACTCAGCTATAAAGTCCCAACAACCGAGTTCTTGTCCTCCGTCTATTTGGACCACTGTGTCCTAAATTTCTTGCTCATGAACCATGGTTATGCCCTTTCCCTAAACCAAATCAATTTCATTGTTGGGGCCCCAACCGAAAATACTTTTGGCCCTAATGACACAATTCTAGGATACAGTGATCTCACGTGGTGGACTTAGGTTACCCATCATCATCCTTATGGCTCAAGTGCTGCTAAAGCCTCATCTCTCACCCACCCTATGATGAAAGTGGCTCATCGGATTATTACATCACTCGTCGTCCCTAGAGAAGACAAAAGCACCATTAGCTCTCTTGAACTCTATGATACGGCCCACCTAGATGATAACCTCATTCCTCACTATGGCTTATTTGTTTGCAATAAACTCACCCACCTCAGCACATCACAATCTAGAAAAATCTATTATAGTGGCGTTGTTAGCATGTTCACCAAAAGTGCTCTAGTCTGGGCCCCATATCCCGAAAATCACCAACCACTACCCGGTGAGCCTTATCTCACCACGACAGTGCTCGAGTCTATGAGGATGTTTTGGTCAAAGAACATAAATCATAATTGGATTGTGGGCCAAAACCATAACCCAAACCTCCTTATCCCACCTGATAACTGGAATATTCTTTCCCTCAAGTGTCCTACCAACTTCACCGATTGGCAAATCACCCTGTACCTTTTCCCCGTCTCCCCATCCGGTAAGGAAGATGAGGAAGGTGAAGAAAGTGAGGGTGATAATGATGTTGATGATGAGGGTGGAGAGGAGGAACCACAAAATATTTCTCCTACGAGTGGTGCCAGTTCATCTCATGGTGCTACACACCCATCATATCACCAACAATACAAGGACCAATTAAAATCAATTCACACCCGCCTTGACATCTACCATCATGACCTAACACACCTAACATAAAGTTTTTTCCTCCTCCACCACCCGATATGCCCGGGATCAAGAGCGTTAACGCAAGCACGAGGAGGAATTTTGGACTTGGACCCGAAACCCTGGGTACTACCCTCATCCTCCTCCTCCTCAATAGGTTGTTCCACCCTCTCCAAGAACTATGGACGATACTTATATTCAAGCTTAGGGAGGGGTAGAGTTGTATATTAGGTTCATCTCCATGCATTTTCATTTTCATGCATTAAAAAGAATTATAAAATCCAAAAATATTTTACTCTCTATTCTATTTTTAAAGTGTCTAAATCTTATTTCCTACATTTATGCATTAGCGTAAAAAAAAGTATATGAGATGATGACACTCTTTACATATGATAGCTCCATGAAATGGGAAAATGGAAAAAAAAAAATCTGAAGCGACCACATCGTTATTGAAAGTGTAGAATCAACTGTCATTACTAGGGGACCAAAACACGATAACTTGAGACCCCAACCTTAGATAATAACAAAATGGCATACTGAAACATTTTTTTGAGCAGTAATAATGAATTTGGGATGATTTGCTTTTGAATGTTTAAAAATAATCTTTACCGACAACTTCGGACCCATAGAACACAAACCTAATTGTTGACACGCGTTACCCTCACTGTAACAGAGAGCTTAAATATCAGATTCACACAGTAAAGAAGGGAGAAAGGGTACAACTGTCATATCCAATACCCAAATTAGAATTTCAAGCACTCAATCGAAGAAATTTTAAGAAATTCAAATTTTTGATTTAAGAACTCAAGCTCAAAACGAAGATACAAATACAAGTCCAATCAAATCAGAAGCCCTCTCCAAGTCAAATTCAGAAAATGAAGAACTGTGTGATATGATACTTGTGGTTGTCGAAAAAGTGAAAGCATAGGAATTGGTCGCTTTCGGGTGGGCTCACTGCTTCAGCGAAAGCTGCTTTGCAGTCACGGGTTCTTAAGGATGCATTGATTCTGATTCTTTACTATCTAGTCTTAAGGACATGATATCCTGGACCATGTTATTTTTGCTCATAAAGTTAATTAAGGTATAAAGTTTAAATAAAACTATGGTTGGATTATTGGCTTACACCGTCTTGTGGTCTTCCTTACTTTAGGAGTCTGTGATACATGAAAGGTAGCAGGATAGTCGCCTAGGTATTAGTGATTCGAGCCCAATCGATGTAAAGTCTAATCGTATATATAAAATAAATAAATAAATAAATTTATGTATGTTTCTAAATTTTTCTTCGATTTATTTTTCTTAAGCTTCTTTTGTACGTATATTTCTTCTTCATGATTTCCATTGCATGTATTCGTAGCTTTTAGGATCTTTCAGTCCCATTTTGCTCTATGTTTCTTCTTTACATCTATAAAATATCCAGCTTCGTCTATTTCTTATTCTTTATTGAGGACAAGAGAGGTCTAAGCTTGGGGAGATTTGTTAGGTGCATTTTGTGCACCTTTTTTGCATACCTTTTAGTCCCTTTTGTGCATCCATTTAGCATAGGTGTCTTTCATTTTTCTTGCATTTCATCAAGTCATTTTATTCTCTAGAACAACATTATTTTCATGTTTTTATGGTCTTTTCAGGTAAACAGGAGGTTGAAACGCGTTTTAGGTGATGCCAGGAAGCACGGCTAAATATTCCGGGTTGATTGGATGCAAAACGAAAATGTTGGAAAAATCAAGTTTGGACTTCGAAGCAGGAGCGAACATGGGGCATATTGAATTTATACTCTAAAGAGAGCACGGGTTGTGTTTGAGCAAAAAGAGGATGTTGACCAAGCTGAACACACCGTGTGTCAGTTTAGCCTATTTTGACACAGGCTGTGTTGGTCCAACTAAGCAATTTTTGACCATTGTAGATTGGAAGAAGAACCTAGGATGGAATGCGAATTTGAACTCAACACGACCCATGTTGATTTAGCCTATTTTGAACGGGGCGTGTTCAGGCTAAAAACTAACTTTTGGTTGTTTTTCCTATCTTTCATATTATAGGATTTGGGTTATTTTTAGAAGGAGACTTCATTTCCAAAGAAGGGAGAAGAGCAATTTCAAAGGCTTTTCAAAGGATTTGATTATTTTATCATTTGGAAACATTATTTCTCTTATTTTTAAGTTGTAATTGCGTACTATTTCAATTTTTTCGACTTCTGATCTTGTTCTAGCCATGTATGGCTACAACTCTAGTTTCTCCAACTTATGTTTTGATTTCTTAGGTGTGATTTCAATCATATGACTTAATGTTTACTTTGAATTTCTATCTAGTGAATTTGATGTTGCTTTAGTCGAATGTTTGATTCTAGTTGTGATTCGTATTAGCCATTTGAATTAGGGTTAGGTCATTCAAGTTATGTAATAGCAAGATCCGTAAATGTTTTGTGGATTGGACTAAGTAACAAGCAATAAACTGTTTTCCATTGAATGAATTTAGTGTAAATCTTATTCGCACACTCTTACGCTCCCGAGCTTGTGAGGAGTGTTGGGTGTTGTTGGGAACATTAACATAAAGTTTAATAGAATCTTTCAATCTAATTCTAAGAGCTTGTTTAGATTAGGTTAGTAAGGTTAGGATTAATCAAAGAGCTTGTTTTGGTTAAATAATGTAGTGAATGAGAAGTTTTAGAGCTCGTTAACACTTTCAAGTACCAACTTAGATAGGATTGAGAAAATATCTAGTCATATTTGAATCACATTTCTAAGTCGTCATACATAGAGTTGGAGTCCTTGTAATTTCTAAATTTAATTCACTAATTTAGTCGATTACTTGTGTCTTTAATTATTTTTTCTAATCATTGCATTCAAAAACCCCATTTTCTTGTGATCAAAGTAACTTACACAAAGAGGTATAGATGATAGCCCTGTGTCTCTGTAGATTGACCCTGCTTTCACTGCACTATCTTTTAGTATAATATAACAGTGTTATTTTTTAGTACATTGTACCCCTAAAATTTGTTTGGTTTGACAACCCAACAAGGGTCCACAAAGATCAATATGGGTAAGTTCTAATGGTTCCAAAATTGATTTTTTAATAATAACTGGATGATATTTCTTGGATTTCTTCCCACATTCACATGCAACCAATAGATAATCATTTTCAAACTTGAGGAGTGGTAGACCTCAGAACATTTTAGTGGAAACAAGATCATTCATATATCAGAAGTTTAGATGAGCAAGCCTTCAATTCCATAACCAACTAACATCATGAACGACCTTTGAGAGAAGACATATTTGAATCTTGCCAATGATCATGTTGATGTTAGAGGATACATGTTTTTGTTGCGATTGGATTTGATTAGACATTCTTTCTGATCTTCTATCATGATGTAGCTATGATTTTTGCAGAACTCAACTCTTCGGTTTGCATCAGTGAGTTGAGCCATACTAATCAAGTTGTGTTTCAAGCCAGCTACATATGGCACATTGGAGACAGAGAAGTTGCTATTGGTGAGGATTCCATAACCTTGGATCTGAGAATTTGAGTTGTTTCCATAAGTCAGTTAGCTAGCATTTGGAGCGAGTTTGAGATCACTCAAAAAGCTTTTCTACCCTGTCAAGTGCATGGAATAAGCAATATCAATATACCATATTGTATCTTGTTCCAATGCATAGAGTGCCTACAAAATTAGCGGGTTTTAGAGTTTTTAGGCTCTAAGTTAGGTTTACGAACTTAGATTGTGACTTTGGAACAGCTGGTGTCTCGGAGGGTTTGTTCCGAGATACTTTGGAAAAGAAGAAAAATGCCAGTGTCTCTTCATTAATCTGTAAATCATACTTAACTAAAGGTCGTTTGGACACTGCTTTTTCTTGGACTAATAGTTTTTTGAGATGTCAGAATCACTGTGTTGACAGAAGTGTTTTCAACCGTTTTTACTTTCCACTCAAATTTTTGTTTTGAGTCTTTTGAGTATTTTTTTAACAACATTGTTCTATAAACTTGTTCTTTTCTTGCCACTTCTAAAGGTAAATTTGATTTCAGAAATTATTGTTGTTTGAAAATGGTACCATTAGATTTAGCAATAAATATAGAAGAAACTGTCCCGGTAGAGTCAGTTTTTACAGAATGATTCACAACAGAAACCATTTTCGGATTAGGAATAATAGTTGTTTTAAGCTACCAAACTAGGAGGATTTAATGGACTTTTGAGAATCTTAAAAAACTAAAAGGTATTGTGGTTCCTAGTGGTTGGGATAAATAATCGTGATACTTTCTTTGTTGGTTTTTCACAAACCTGCAACTTTAATTGGCAGTGAACAGTTACAATAGAGAAACAGAGTATACGAGCTTAAGCTTTGTCTTTGATTAGAGAAACTGAAAAAATAGAGGTGATAACCTCAACATACATGACTGCTCACTATTTAACAAAATAAAAATGCGATTAAAGTGCAACTACTCCTACTTAGCTTAAGACTCGGTAACATAGCCCACATGGCTTTTACTTATTCAAAGCAGTAAACTCAACGTGCATCTAAGCAATAACTGAAATAAACAATAATTAAACTTATGATATCTGAATTATTTTCATCATTTTTCCCCCTTAATTCAGAGATCATACCTGCTTAACTCCAAGCAGATCACGCATCACTTCAAACTTCAATTTTCCAAGTGGCTTTGTCAAAATATCGGCTTTTTGTTCTTCACTTGTTACAAACTTCACTGTGATTTCTCCATTCTCCACACATTCTCGGATGAAATGGAACCGTATGTCTATATGTTTGCTCCTTCCATGGAAAACAGGATTTTTCATTAAATCAAGGGAGGACCTGTTATCCACTTTTATTTCAACTGGGGGTACATTTTGACCTGTTATTTCTCTCAGAAGCCTTCTTAACCACAACCCCTGACAGGCTGCTAGAGTTGCAGCCATGAATTCAGCTTCGCAAGATGAGAGAGCCACACACCTTTGCTTCTGAGATGCCCATGTGATTAAGTTGTTGTTCAAACAATACGCCATACCTCCTGTACTCCTTCGGTTATCCAGGTCATTTCCATGATCA